GATAGAATGTTCGGATTCTGATGAGGTGCTTCAGGTTCGAATCTCAGTGATTGGTTGATATAAAATCTGCTAGCGGCTCACGGTGCCGATGTGAAATATTCTCAATGGTAGACGGATCATGAGTTAGGATCTTTTTACCGTCAGGCTATCCGTGTGAGAGTTTCGTGTTCTTCCTCTCCATGCACCGCAAATGCGGATTAATTTCATCAAACAGCCCTTCACTAAGGCCGGTTTAAAATGATGTTTAACCCAAGAGTTGTCTTCTGGATTGGGTTCAAAATTACAAGGCTACGGAGGTAAATATTGATAGCCGTAAACTCAGTATATGGTTAGCTGTTCAACGCTGGTTATAAAATAAAATAAAATCATACAGAGATGAGTCCTGCCTTGCAAGTATTTTTCTGTTCTTTCTTCACTTCTGTTCTATGTATGTGCCGATATTTTTTTTCTTACCTTCGTTCTTCACGTACCGAATTCGTTTTTTGTGATTAAATATGAAGCGTTTAAGAGTAAGGTTATTTCGAAATTTCTATTCAACCCCTTTATGACTTATCTTTGTTGAGATATTTTGAAAATCGTCTGATGTGTGCCGACGTGCTGATCTCTCTTTCATCTTGTGAATCTTGATATGGTGATGGGAGAACAAGATGAAAAAGACATTAACTGAAGCATTTCATTTAATTTTCTTCTAGAATTTCATGTATGTATATATCTTTGCAGATTACTGGTAAATGTATATCCAAATTAGATATTTTTTGGGAAATTAGTAAGCCTTTATCAAACAATAAATTTTACTTAAAAATCTTAATATATCCTTTATAATATGTTAGAAATTTTCATTAAATAATCGCATAGAAAATACTAAATATGAAGAAGTCGTATTTTTAAAATTCGATTACTCGTGAACTATTCGACCGATTTCGCTCAAATTTTTTATTTTCCATTTAAAGTTGCTTTCTTTAAAATGATTTAAAAAATGGTATATTCAAAATCTTTTCGATTATTAGTAAGTAAAATAATAAATATATAATAAAAGTTGTTTTTTGCAGGAAATTATCTTTCAATAAATAAATTTTATAAAAGTGTGCAAAATTTTTTAAATCGCTTAAAAAAACTCGAGATGTGGCCAAATACGCAAAAAGTAAAACCAACATTAAGTGATTTGAACTGAGGTCCGCTCTCCTAACCAAACTATTGGGACCATATGTCCCAGATTACGACTTCCCCCTTGGGTGTCAGAAAACTGAATCCGTCGAGAAAAAAGATATGTTTTATCAGAAAAAATATGTTTTTGTGTCTTATTTCGTAACGTAAAACATGTATCGCCTGCACTAGTTAATTAGCATATTTGAGGTCATCCCATTGAACCATTAAGATTGAGTCCTGGAAAGTAAAGATCCGAAAATTAGGTCGAAAGTTATTCAGATGGGCTATTTTTTATTTTGCGCACTGTACAGTCTCTGGCATGATGTAATATTTTTTAATGAAATTTGTTTGAAAAGTTAATTTCTAAAAAGAGAAAATTGAATAAAGTTGTAGTCAAATTTATTTATATTCGTTTTTAAAATTTATAGTAATTAACTTGAGCGCTACAAATTCAGATAATAGCAACAAAAATGATATTAATGCAAGTGAGAGCGAAATTTGATACAGATTTAGTTTTATAAATGTTTTAGTGGCCTAAGACAAGGGGCAGCTATGTTGCTGCAAATTAATTTTCTTTGTTTAAAAAAAAACGTATAACAATTTTGCACTCAAGATAATAAAATATATACTTAAATTAATTTATTATGAACCTAAAAATAAAAGATAAAAAACGAAGAAACAATAAAATAAGGAACAAATAAGGGAAATCGAATAAGGATTATCCTTTCCTAAAACACATCGCAATCAAGGAAGTCATTTCAGCAGAGTCTAGTTCAACTGAATCTGCTGTTTTCAAATATTTTATGTAAAATTATTAATTTTGAGATCATCTTCCCTGAGAAGCTATTGAATCTATATTTAAGAAGAAAAACACTTTCGTATGCTCTACTCTTGAACTGCGATGGCTTAGTGGTTAAGACACTGAACCGTCACTGTGACGAACTGGAGTTCGAACCCCTGTGGCGGCCTGAAGCTTACACAGTTTCAGATCGATGGGTACCAGCTTGTCTGGGAAAGTAATGGCGGTCTGTGCGCAGTGCTGATCACATTTCGGCAATCACGAAATTGTGGAGCCTTAACCTTCATGTCTCCACTGGCCCAAGGCGGGCTGTTGCACGAATGTTTTACTATTCTCAAATCTTGTAGAATACTTTCCAGCGGCGGTTAAATGATAATTGGAAAGTTTGAGGATTGGAAATTAAATTTAAAAGGAAAGAAGTTATCTTGATAAATTATTAAATATCAATGCACAAAAACATCAACGAGTAAAATTTCAAAGGAAAGTTTTAAAATGTTTGCTATAAAAAGAGGAACGAAACAAAAAATAAAGTATTTAAAAATTTGTGAAGGAAATTCAGCAAAAAGTAGAAAATGAAACTTATTTACTAAACGCATATAAAAGTTTTTCTAAGATTGCAATCTCAATGCAAAATATCAGTATAAAGACCAAATTTCTGATTAAAAATAAATAAAGTTGTTCTGATCGTGAAGACATGAATAAAGTAAAACATAAAAAATAGGCCTAAATTTTGATCCGAATGAAAAAATATGTTTCCCTTTAAAATAGATAAACTCCATTGCTTTACCGTTAAAGAAAAAAGCCATAATAAACAACATTCCTAAGAGAAAATCTTAATGTAACTTAATACAGTGCTCGACTTACAATAAAAAAAGGGCCAAAGATGTGATAACATTTTAAAAGTACTCTTAACGTTTTTGTGCTTACTTAAATTTACGAATTAAATATTTTAATTCCGCCCAGATATTTTTTATTTAAACGTACATATTTTAAAACTGGAAGTGAAGAAGTTATTCGAAAAATATTTTTTTCATGAAAATTTACTGGAGTAAAGATTTTTGAATCACATAAAAGGGTAGTCTCATACATTGTGACTATAGACATAAATCAAGTACTGACTGTAACAATCGATTTAAATAAATAAATATGAATAATGTTTTAGTATTGATAAGTTTATTTAGTTAATTTGATACTATATTTGTATATGTTTCATGGTATTAGGTTTCGGTATATCTCTCAAACATTTAATTTTGTGGTATTGGGCACACAACCAATATAATTTATAAAACTAAAAATATAAATTTTTATTTCATAGTTTCAATTAATATAACTCAACTGATAATTTTGTTATTGAACGAGTGTTACAAAAACCTTATGTACTTCCATTAATGAAAAAAAAATCGAAATTGGAATGTAGTTATCAGAACTTATCAGACCTTATCATTTTCGTATACTTATAATACTTCAATGCTTTCAAAAAGTCTTATATAATTAAAAACAATTGTAACTAGTTTTTATTGGATCTTTAATGATCAATATTAAATAAATAAATTAAAAAATACAAATACACTCTACTAACATAAAGCATTAAAACAGAAATTTCTTCTCTTAATAGCTTAATAAAACCGTCAGTCTGTTGACAACAAATGTGGCAATCAGCACTTTCTGGAAAGTTCTAACTTATACTTAAAGTTTTTTTTTTGTTCCCGAACCGATTTCTTCATTCAGTATTTTTATCACTCAGTATTAATGAGTAAGCAACTTGCAAGCGTTGACAACAGTAGTCAATACAATGACTATATGCCGAATCATATTCCTCATTTAAACGTAATTAAAGAATGAAACAAGAATACAGAGTCAACTGGCTTTTAAATTATTTGGTATTAATACCCTTATTTCTTATTTTAACATAAATTGTTGCTATAACTAGTACAATACACTTAAATATAATATCATTTGGGCTAGGAAGGTAGTTTTTAAAATTAAAATCTTTAACTTTTTATCATAATTTGAATTATTGCCAACTTTTCATTTCAGTTTTTATAATTATGAACTTGAACACTGAAAATCTCCTTTCTATTACATTGCATAGCAATTTCAGATTGTCACACTCCATAATTTGTTTTTTCCACATTATTGAGTTGATGTTTCAGACCAATAATAGCTCGAGTAGTTTTTAAAAAAAATATTAACAAAAATTCATCAACAGTTAAATAACATTTGTTATTAATACTACAATATTTTATACCGACTTAAATAAAATAGAGAAAAATAATCCTCAATCATCACCCTCAATTTTAATTTTTTTAATACTTGTCAAAATCAAAGTTAAACAAGAATAACCATTTGGTGTCATAAATTAATATTTCAGTGATGAAAAGACAAAAATGTATTAAAAATATACAAAATCATTATTAAACAGGAAAATAATAAGAATGATTGCTGAAGGCTATTGGAATGAGTTAAGCTGTTATAGGAAGAAATTTCTTTTAGTTTTCTTCAGCAATAGTTATAATTTTCGTGTTTTTAATTTTTTCTTGGTCGTTAATGATGTGTTAGACTTTTATAACACTTTTATTTATTTATTTTTACTTAAAACTGCTTGTGTTATTGATCTAATTTCTTAAAAGTTTTCTAATAACTAATATTAAGGGTAGTTACTGCAAAACACCCTGCACACAATTTGCGTGGGGATATAGGATTGCTTACGTTCATATGAAGTGACCAAGATGAAACTTTCTTTCTAAATTCAACAATTATTCGCTTACTATGGCCCTGGAGAATAGACGTAACATTAATGAAATAATAAATTATTTTCATAAATTTTAAGGCTGCAACCCTTTTTACCCTTACATATTTGTGATCTTCTATCGAGGCACACTTTACTTTCTTGTACTCCACTGAGTTAAGAGAATTTTTTCTTCTTTTCTTTCCTGCTTTTTTAACATTTCTTTTTATTTTGGGCACAAGAATTAAATATGTAGTATTCCTTTTAGTTCTAGTTTGAAGTATATATGAATAAAATTAACCATTTTTCTTTTTTTTCTTCTTTCAGATGTGCGAGCTGGCTTAGTATGAAAGCTGGTGGGTGTGAGACTGTTTGAGTGGAGCAATGGGGAACAAGTTGAGTTGTTCCTGTGCCCCGCTCATCAGGAAAGCCTATCGCTATGAAGACTCCCCTTGGCAGAATGCCAGGAGACGGGATGGACATCTGCTTAGGTCAGTGTTTAAAGCTATTAATCAGCCTGTGTTTTCTCAGATCTTTACCCCCTTTTTTTTCATTCTTTTTCAAACTACCTAGAGATGGGTCTGTTGGAAATGAAACATATGCTCGAATCTTTTGCCAAACTAAAAATTTTGGGAAATATTTTTTTCCCTTTAGTTTGTTTATCTTCTAACGTCTTCTCGTTTTAATTTTGAGTAGCATGAATCAACTTATCCGTTTGTTTTATTTAGAAAATACATACATTATGTTTGTTTTTACTTTGCGTGTTGTAGTAATTAGCATAGAGGCTTAAGAAAGAAAACAAAATATTTATACCACTATGCAGTGTTCCAAAAACAGATATTTAAGAAACTTGAGATATTATTGGGCCTAATGGTCACATCAACAAAAAAAATCTAGTTTTTTTTAAAATATTTTTTAAAGATTTTACTCCTAAGAACTTTTGTATAATGTGGCAAACAAAGGTAAAAGGAGAGAAGAGTTTGTTGATAATAATTATTCAGTTTGAGGCTTTCGAAAGTTGAAAGCATTGCGACCCAGTTTTTACAAACCGAAACTAAAGCGACTCCCTACAACGTTAGCACTCTAAACTTTTTTAGAGACAAATAAAACACATATTTTTCTATCGCGATGGATTATTAAAGAAACTATAGAGTTTCGTTCAAAAATGTAATTTATGCTATTAAATATCGTAATGGCGGCTGTTAAACAGTGGTTATAAAATAAAGTTATTATAATTAAAATTTGTTATGATTTTATAATATAATATGTGAATATTATGATATATGGGTATGATCGACTTTAAAATAAATTATTATTAACAATAAATAAAAAAATCTAATTTTTTTTAAACTAATTTAAAAGTACAAATATTTTATTATTTTTTTAGATATGATTGTTTCTAAACAAATATTTTTTAAAAAAAAAAACTAATTTATAAGTACAAATATTTTTTTTTCCCCGATATGATTGTTTCTAAAAATATTATTTTGTTTTTTATTATGACACAAATGAATCGTAAAAATTGTGACCTCTTTTATACATAATTTCCTTGTCATGTACTTTGATTATAATATTAAAGCAAGCATCGTATTATAGGAATTTTACAAGAAATACATATGGGTGTTTCTTCAAATTTAAGAAAATTTAAACTTGAAATTTCCTAAGAAATTTGGGAAAAAAAACTTGAAAAAAAAAGAATTTTTAGAATATTTCAAATGTAGATTTAACAATAATTATCAGCATAGCTAAAAATATTGTCTTTTATTTAATCCTTGTATTTGCATTTCTTTAACAGTTTGAATGGCAAAAAGAGTAAATTAATGACGTTTGAGAACATTTGAGTACAGAAGTTGAGATTAACATTTATAAACACTCCTACTGAACCATTTTTTTCATATCTTTGCATATTTGATAGTATTAACATTATTTTAATCTAAATTTGTCATGATAGCCCATGAATTATCAGGTATAAGAACAACAAATCAGAATTTTTTGTGTTCTCAATAAGCAATATCTAGAGATATAAATGTAGGTTTGATTACTGTCAGAAACTTTGTAAGAGTTATTACTGTAAATAAAACTAAATTATATGTTTGTTTTATCTTCTTTTTTAAAGTCATGTTAATGACACGTACAAAATATACTTACTTTGAAAATGAATGCCAAGAACAACGAAATTCAGCTCCATTCAGAACAGTTATTAGTTACTAAGCGTGTGTTTTAACAGTGTTTACACTTTCGAAAATTTCAATCTCTTTTTTTAAAAAAAAACATATTCATACTTTTCAGTAATGTGGATGATGGAAAAAACATGAGGCAGAATATTAATCCATTTTTTGGGACAGCATTATTATTATTTGATTTTCTCCTTTATATTATTAAGATTCTATACACACTCATATAAGTTCATAGAGAAAGAATTAGGGAGAAAATTAATTTTTGTTTTTGGTATAAAGTCTTTAGAACACATCAGATATAGACATGAGCAGGTAATATGGATTACATTTCGCAGAGAAAATTTCTTTTAAGAATAAAAAGGTATAGTTTAAGATTAGAAATATACTGTTAAAGGAGTATAAAAATGTGAATAAAATTTTTTTTTTAAATTTTTAAATGCGTAAAAATTATATTGAAATGGAACATAAATGTTTCTAAATTTTTAGAATCATCCGCTTAAACATTTAAAGAGTTCTTGTCGTGACTATTCAAATACTGATTTAAGACCTACTAATAGGTCATGATTAGCACTTTGGGAAAAGCAGATTAAGTTAAAAGCTTTAAAGGACTCAAACCGTTGACTATTCTTTTCATTAAATTATAGCCTTATATTTAAGACCGATTTGTTGCATTAATAATTATATGAGCGAAATGGCCCAAGACGAAGAGCGGTGGCTGAATTCCCCTTGACCACCGTTCCTTCCCCGGTATGCACTCTTTGCAGTTTTAGTGAGGACATGGACACCACGCACCTTCTCCTCTGCTCTTTGCAGGAATTATATCACTGAACGCTATTGGGAAGCTAGAGACATGTTGTGATTAATAGACTCTGTTGCAGCATCTTTTGTTTCTGTTCTTATTTTTAGATGTTTATGTATGCTTATTACTGTCTATAATCTGCCATTGGAAATAAAATAAAAAAAGAAAATAATTATATGATTATGTATTATTATATGATAAGCAATTTAGTGTATAGTTAGTGGTTTTCTGAACTATGAAAGATGCTTTAAATCTTATAGTCAAATGGTCACTTAAATTTCTTTAAAGTGGTTTTCAAACCATGCTAATTAAAAATGGTTAAGAAATCGTATAGTTTTGTATTGATGGTTTTTTAAGCATACTAGTTATTAACGGGTTCAAAACCGTAAAGGTAGAAAATGTTCTTTACCTTAAAAATTATGGTTAATTGGATGGACAGACTCTTTTTGAATGAAAATTCTAACAGTGTACAAAATAATCAGAATGAAAAATCATTCAATAGACAAATCAATTGTATGAATCATATTTCAAAATGTTTATTTGAATGTTATTATATAGAAACAATGGAATATAAAACGCGAAATTTATTAATAACAGTCGTTCCAGGTTATGGGCGGAGGTGTTCCATGTGAGTGCAACGAGCGGAGCTGTGAAGTGGCAGCAAGTGTCGGAGGACCTGGTTCCTGTCAATATCACCTGCATCCAAGACACCCCGGACTGCGTCTTCCACATCACAGCTTATAACTCTCAAGTGGAGAAGATACTCGATGTTCGCCTTGTCCAACCAGGTACCATAGACCTCTCTACCCTCCCTTGAAAAGCACATAGGGTTCTTAAGTGAACCGCTAATAGATAAAGTTTATTATTTTTATTTGTTTGAAGTGTGGTCGCGAAATACATGAACAAGACAAGTACGTATACTATCACTTATTATTATTATAATACGAGCAAAATATCTGTTGCTAATAATTAAAAATATAAATTCAATAGGATCGAAAGTTACAGTGTACGTAAACTTATAACTTAAAACAATTATGACTAATTACAGCTGAAATAACTGAGATTGCATTAAATCTTTAAAGCAGAATTTTTATTAAACATCTTTAATACTTTTTTCATTATTTTGCATTAATTTAGGTCAAAATAAGTAAAAAATTTTATGTTTAGCGTTATAATAGTTTTTGGTTATGAAATACAGAATGAAACACTGGCGTCTTTTTCTGCGTTAAAGGCAAAATCTTCTAAACACAGTTTGCTTCCATAAAATGATTTTTCAAATTTACACTTATTTGCGGTTCTAAGAGAAGCAATGATTCATCATTGAATTTTTTTTTAATTTGCAAAATCAATTATCATTACATTTCTGAGTACAAATGAAGACAAAAAAGAAAAACCAATTTACATTTTTGGATTTTATATTTTAATTAAATATAATTCCAATAATAATCTCGAAGATTTCTTTTGCAACTATAAAACTGTTTTTTTTTCAATAAATAAATTATACCGAAATATATTTTTACTTGAAATTGAAGCGTAAGAATGTATATAGTACATATTATTGCTAAATTTGGAAACAATATTACTTACTATACAAAAGTAAGTAAGTTTTTCAACAAAGTAAAAAGCAACTTGCAACATGTTTATTTATTTCGGATCAGTAAAAGCTGCTGTTTAAACTAGCCATATACTATATTCTACTTTTAATAGTCTTCGAAAGTAATAGGAGTCAGAGTCATTTTATTGCTTTTATTTTTTTTAAATGTTATACAGTAATATGTGTGTCATACAAATCTGTTTTTTTTTGTGATATTTATCGAAATATTATTTAACAGGAACACGATTAGGTCAGGCTTCGGAATGCTTTGTGTATTGGAAAGATCCTGCAACGGGAGACACGTGGGGCTTAAATTTTACTTCGCCTATAGATGCAAAGCAGTTTCGAGAATGTTGTGTAAGTATTTTTGCATAATCCAAGCGTATTCAAAAAATTTATTTCATTTCTTAACGGACATTTTTAATAATATGCAAAAATAAAGATATGCTCAAGAAAAATATACATTCTCACATTCTAATTTAACGATATTGTTTTAAACTTTTATGAATTGCCTAGGAGAAAAATATCAGTTCCTCTTATATTACTTTTAAACTGAGCAGGAGCTAGAATTTACTGAATACAGATGCATCCAAACAAAGAAGAATTTACAACTGAATAATGAATATTAAGCATAGAATATGGAGGAGAAATGCATTGACAACATAGTATGCTCCGATGGTGAAAACAAATATGTTAAAAAACAGCAACTCAATTTAATAAATGTGTGAATACTCATTATTTTTAATAGTAAATAGTTGTAACAATATGGATATTCAATTCCAATTTAATTAAATTTTTTTTTTGTTCATATGCTTTAATTGTAGCTTAAAAATCTATATAAAACGTATTGAAATAAAATGAAATTATTTGAGGCAAAAGGGAATATTATTTATCTACAAAAGTTATAAGTCAAGAGTTTTTTTGTACATTAAGCAGAATCTCAAGTCCCTCAAAGCCAGTTACTGCTCTCTACTAGTTTCTCTCTACTAGTCTGCTCTCTACTAGTCTAGATGATGCGATAAAATAGATATATACTAAGCAATATGAAGATCAGGGGAAGGTTTATAACCATATAAACTGGTTCGAAATTTAAATGCAAACAGGAACCTCTTTCGACAGAGCGGCCAAATTTTATTGGGTAATAACTCTCGGAGAGAACCGATTTTGCACATTATTCTTTTGTAAATACTTATTAATCCTAAAAATGCAAAAGTGGAGATTTTTGTGAAAAATGGACTTAAACCGTTCTTCGCTATTCATTTTTATATTAAAAAAAACTATTAAGATGTACAGTTAAATCAAATACAAACAAAAGCAGTTGAATCCTATTTAAATTATCCAATTTGAAACAAAAATACTTATTACAATGCAAAAGAATATATGGATAAATCTTATAGGTTTGTTTCTGTACGGTAATTTCCATACGTTAATTTCTATACGTTAATTTCCATACATTAATTTTGATTATGTTGTATTTATAGTCCCCTTCATTCAAATTTTCGAGAAAGGCTTCCTCGTCATATTCTTTGAAACTGGAACCACCAAAAGTGAGTAATTTAAAAATAATATTAAGTGATATTATTATTTTTTTACTTATCTTTTATTTTTATTAGAGTAATAAAATTAAACTCTTTACTCCTGATACGATAGCCAAGTTGACATGTTGAAAAGTTTAAAATTATATTCTAAGTTAGTATCAAATAAAATTAAACTAAAATTTTGATTCCCCCCCTTTTGAATTTGATTAAAATGTTGGTCCATGCTTTTATGTGAAATTCGTATTTATAGATTGCATCAGCATTAACAGAGTTGCATGAATTTTGAAAATAATTAATTTTATAAAACTTACACCTGATAGTATACAACGTGTCAAAATATTGTTCTATAATTTTAAGTCAATCGAAATTAAAATGAAGCAATAACTCTAGGAAAATATTTGGAAACTTATTTTGTTTAGCTCCCAAAGGCCGGAGAGAAAATTAAAAAAGCATAGTTCTTTAAAACACTATTTTTGAAGTGAGTGGGAACAATCTCTTAACTAATGATAAACTAAACAATGACTTTGAAGAAATGTTCTCTTTTTCAGTAAAGACTCACTAGGTATTCAACAAATGTTTTTTTCCCCTTTTTTTTAAAGAAATTGCAAGTAGTCCTATTTTTAGCAATTTTGCACGTTTAAATCTGTCCAAAAAACTCTATGTAGAACATTTTGATTATAAATGGTGTATTATTTCTTAAGATACATGCAAATTGAGAGGGAAAAAATCTTGTCCAACAACCAGTTTCAAATTTTCAAAATGTTAGATGAAATTTTCCTAAAATATTTGTGAAATATTTTTATATGTGTGCTTAAAATTCGAATGAAATAAATTTTTATTATGTTAAGAATTAACAAAATTATGCTTTTTTGTAAACTAATGTAACTTGATCAAAACAAATTATTCATAAAACTAATTACAATTATGAAGTTGTTTTACGAAACGATAGTTCCTTTTTTTTTAACAGATTGTGCTACACTATATTGTTACTTCCTTCATTAATTTATCTTATAACAAATTAAGTCTCTAAGAAAACAAGAAAAAAAGAAAGATTTTTTCATTGTCTAATCCCTTGATTCAATCTGAATTATCAACAATTTTGTAAAGTTTTAAGTTTTAAATTTCTCGAGAAAAATCATGACTAACACCAAGGATAATTTTGCAACTTTTTTAAATTATGAATTTAGCACTCTTGCCAGCTCTTGAACTTTTGAATGAAAATGTCTTCTAAAGCAATTGTTTCTTAATGAAAATCTTTTAAACATTTAGATATATATATATTTTCTTGCGATTAAGTACTAAAATGTAGAGCAATCAAAAATGGGAAGGCGTGAATTTATATACTGTAATGGTTTTGCTTGTACATTTATAATAATACAAAACTTGATAACGCAAATATTGACAATTAAGAAACAATATACGTATCTTAAAATTATAACTTTTGAACAATTTCTAGGAAATACTTTATTGATATAGATTTTATAAATGTTTCAATGTTTTGACAAATTATTTTACTCTTATACCTTTTATAAAGCATAAAATTGCTCGTATAATTCCTTTCTTAAAAATATTTATTTCGTTGCGCAGAGTTTGACGAGGTAGTTTATGATTTAAATGAAAGTGACACATATATAAAAGATTGATGTATTTTTAACGAGTTGATCATAAATAATTACTTTTAATTGCAATAAACATTCTTTTTTTGCTTTAATTGTTGTTTAAAATAATATATTCTATGTGCTGTCAGAACAGACTTTTTTCGTCAAATGGGTTCCAAATAATTTCTAGATTGGATTTTCTTAATTTTTCATTAGACAGATTAGTTCAGTTGTAGTATTTTATGAGAAAGTTAAAAGTAGAGTAATATAAATGAGAATAATAAATACGAAGCTCGTGTAAAAAATTGATAAATTATTATCATTACTTGAAAATCATGCTGAGAAACGAAGTACTTAAATATTTCAAATGAAGTTTAGAATCAAAATAAACATGCAAAAAGTAATTATGTGCAGTTATAGTTTTTTAAATGAATTATGTGCTACAATCTATTATGTTTATGCTTTATATTACGACGCACATTATACTATAATCTGTTAGGTTATTTATTTATTTTTTGTTGTATATTTTTCTTTTTAAGCAACAAAAAACAAAAGGAAAGAGAAAGCCACAATCAACACCCAGTTCACCTTCTCGAAGTCGAGAGCTGCAATGCACCTGCATGACGGCGGAGAACCTGCACCGGGCCCGCAATGGCCGGGTCCGCTACACGGGCGCCGCCACCCTGCCCCGAGTGCAGCCACGATCAGTGGACGATTACAAAATCTCCTACGACAACCGTGGTGGTAGTAGCCGGACTCATGCCTCTACAACCTCCGTATATGATAACATGGGTGGACAGTCAACGCGCCGGGGCACTACAACAGCAAGCGTTCATGGCGGCGCTCACAAAATAAACAGGTTAGATCCTAACTCAGCAGCAATGCAAGGCACAGCAGCATCAACTACATCTGGCAACACTATGGTGAAGACCTCCCTTCAAGAGAGAATTTCAGATGTTAGTGGCTCTGATAGATATCAACAAGATAGGTTAGGTAGACAAGATACTGCCCGGCAACTTTATGCACAGTCAACACGAAAGGAACAGGCGAAAAGCATAGATTGCAGTCTTGTTTCCGAACGAAAGGAGAGACAGCGTACCGACGAACTTCAACCTCAGTCCCGGAACAAGAGCAAGAGCTCGGACAATGTCTTTGAACAGTCACAGGTCGATGTCCCGGGACTCAGTTTGGATAGTGACACTCTAAAACGTATGTTGCATCCCCTTCCTACCAACTCTATGCACAGTTCCCCAGAACAGGAGGCTGAAATCATGCTTAAAAGAAGGCTGCTAAGGAAGCTCAACAGCGATGATTCTCGGGACTCACAGAGATCCTTTTCAGCCAACAGAAGTCGACAACACAGATCAGAAACTGGGAGACGTAGAAGTCTCGAACGTACCATGTGCTTGGACTTGCCAGATCCCGACGCATCCCCTCCTTCCGACCATTTCCTTTACGATAATCACTGCTATGTAACCCCTCCTAATTCAAGCAATGATAATAGTGACGCGGATCGACCTTATGTCAGTTCCGACGAAGGACATGGACACCACGCACCAACTCATACACCTAGCTCACCTACTAGCAGGCTATTACTAGAGTATGAAATGCACTTGCGCAACGCCTTAGCTCGAGGCCTAGATGCCGAGAGTTACAGTCTGCACACCTTCGAAGCCTTATTAAGCCAGTCAATGGAAAATGTTGGTAAGTAAAATTTCGTGACATCTATATATTCATATTTTGTAATGTTTCAAGAAAAGAAAAGTTGTGAACATTTGAAAATATTTGCTATACTAATTATCAGTTTAAGACATACGCCACCAGGTCCCTAATACATTAAGCAGTTTTAATAATACATCTCAGTATCAACTCCAAATAAATTGCTATTCATTTATATATTAACACCTTTTACTTATAATTATCAAAATAATATAACAATGTATATATTTTTAAAATAATATTAAAAATGTTAACCATTATTTTACATAATTTGATCTAATAAAAAGGTTGCCTGATTTTTACCATGCAATAATTATTTAGAACCTATTTGACTATTTAATTACGTATTGTATCTATAATGTTTTTATTGTAAACTGACGTACTTTTTTTAAAAAAGAAATTAGTTTAAATAGTTTTGTTTTTAAATTCTGATGCTAGATGTTAAGATTTTCGCAAAAGGAGTAGAAGTCCCTTTGCATGTCAAAGCTGGATATCAATCTCTCTCATAATATACTATCTGGCCAAAAATGTGGGGACAACCAGTGGTACGAACTGGTAGAGTTCTGAGACATTAGGAATTTTCCTTTGCATCGATGACAACTTGTACTCGTCTGTGCAGATTTTCCATCATTTTTTAGTAAGTGGCCATAATAACTGAATTCCAGGCGTTTATCATAGCTGAAGTGAGTGCTGGAAGTGAAAATGGCTGATTTAGCTGATTACTTAGTCTACGCTCTAATTTGCCCCAGTGGTATTCTAAGGACTTTTGATTTGGACTGTGAGGAAAGCCTATACCATTTTTAACACTCCTTTCATAAAATCTTGACTGCGCAAGTCTCGGTGCATGAATGCAGTAGTCTTTCTGCTGGAAGAGAAATGGGCCTTCCAAGAAATATGATCTTAGAGCCGGAAGAGCACCATTGTCCAGGATGTCCACATACATGGCAGAGTTCATGTCCATGAAACCAGGACAAACCATGAAAAGTACTACACCATCATCATTCTTCACGTTTTTTTTCTGGATCCTTTTGGTCTGATAGTGCATAAATCACTCTATCAACAACAAAAAATAATTTTAAAAGTTGTATCTTCGTATGGCTTGGTATATTTTAAAAAATAGCGTCATTAAAGTGGAGAAAGCATTGAATTTTTTGAAATTTTTATAAGCATAAATTGAATAGTAAATCTACAATTGACAGTTTATACAAATTGAAAATTTAAAAGAAAAATAAACATACTTATTTTCATATTTATAAAAAAAATACCACAATTTCATTTCCGCCACATATCTCAGCTAGCAAAATCTAATTAATCTTAAACCTAAGGCTCAGTTTAAATTATCATATAAATTAAAAGACAAACAAACATAATTTACTCTAAAAAATATCGTATGGCAAACAAAATGCTTTAAAATTGACATGCTTAAGCATGAAACGTATGCTTGTAAGCCAGCAAAAGTATTCATTCTTGAACTAATCGCAGACTCATAAATAGTCAATCATTAGTTGACTAAGGAACACTGTTGAATAATTAGCTATAAGGAGTTTGTGAACAATAACTCTCATTTAACATGCTATTGGTAACTGGTATTATTCCCATTTGCTTACATTTTTTCTCCACTATCTACACCAATCTTCGCAGACAATATTTATTTCACTTTAGATTATCCAAATATAGTTTTCTTTCATCCTATAAGAAATTTAGTTCTACCATCAACTATGTCAGTAGAAGAAATTAAATGCAAATATTTACGCCAAATGCATCAACCACATTATTGCTTATTAAAAGAATTTCAAAACTTTCTATTTAAAATCTAAAAGTGTGAAGAAAATCGTAATTATTTTATTTGCGAAAAAAGGGCGCAAATGAACGATTTTGATTTCTTAATGATGAATTTATATCGATAAAAAAGGTAAATTAAAATATCGTTTGTTCTTCAAGTGTTTTAAAGATCGTTTGAATCAATATCGTAAATTCAATGTTCCACAATCAGTTTCGTGTTTTTATGTTTTAAATTTGTTTCTAATAATTATTTGAATATCACATGCAGTATATTTTGACTATAGGGTATTAAATTTAAAAAATATATTTTGAGAACGGATCTGCCAATCTTGTTACCTTGTGTGGTTTAGTTATTTTATTTTAATTCCAATTTGCTTCCCTTTTTATTTAGGTTATTTGTTTGATTAAAATATAGGAAAATTTTGAAGTTTGAATGAGTTTATAAGTTTTGATGATCTACGGAGCATTGTATAGTTTTTACATTAATAATTATTAGGATTAAATAAGTCTTTAAAATTTTTACATTTAATACTTAGTTTGAATTCTTGTATAATACTTTTACCAGTATTTTTATGTTTTTGAAAGAAAAATGCTTGTAATGTTTTTTAAATGCATATATAAACTTAATTTTATTAATGTTCTACATTTAATTGAAAGTTTTACGAACTTTTAACCTTCAAATTAGGAATTTGTTAAAATCATGAAACGTTATATGGAACATAAAAACATCTAGCTAACCAGCTTACTCTCTTCGCATGTTATTGGGATATTGTAGATCCCGTTTAAAAAGTATGGAATCCATTTTGGAATTTTATGGGAAATAATCCTTTTCAAAAAAACGTTCTACAATTACATAGTTTCAAAGTTTGAAAGTATTCATATCATAATAAGAAATTTTAGAGTGCATAACTATGTGAAATTGTACTTCATGTTTGTACATTTCTTATTTCTAAGCATTAAAATAAGTACCGTAAAGTACAATATTTATTGCTTTGTATGTACTTTTGTGTTGATTGTTATGATGAATTAATATCAGTTCGGATAATTATGCATTAAATAATATCCTTTCGAAAAAATTAACATTAATTAAAGTAATTCTAGTGTGAAAACCTTTGTAAATTAGTACTTGATATAATACATTTTCTAAGTACACGAATAAGAATACATTATTGCAATATATTATTATTTGTAATGTGTATGTCTGTTGAAATATATTGGGAGTACAAATTAGTTCGGTCCGTTTTCAAAAGATGACTCTAACTGTTATGAATGTCTCATAGTGACCGCTGGCTTCTGTGGTTTCAGAGAGGTTAGACATCTATTAATAATATTCAGTTTATATCAGTTTGAGTTTTATACAAAACCCCTGTTTTTTACTTTGTTGAATATGTCAAATTTTGTGGTAAATACGCAGCATTTGCGAGAGGTTTTATGCTTCTGCTTTAATTGCAAGAAAAGTGCAGCTGAAGTGCATCGAATGCTTGTAGAAGTTTATGGTGGCAATGCTCCAACTGATAAACCATGTAGGGAATGGTTTCGGCTTTTCAAGAATGGTGAATGATGTTGTATACTATGAGCTACTACAACCTGGCGATTCCATTACGGGCGATTGGTATAGGCTACAATTGATTCGTTTGAGCTGTGCATTACGAGAAAAACGGCCGAAATACGAGCAAAGACATGACAAAGTTATTCCTCTGCATGATAACGGTAGGCCTCATGTCGCAAAAGTCGTAAAAATTATTTGGAAAAGCTCAAGTTGGATATTTTACCACATCTGCCGTATTCGCTGGACATTACTGCTTCTGATTACTGGCTGTTCCAACGGATGCAACATGATTTGGCAGGTCAACGGTTCGCTTGTTTCGCAGAAATTGAAAATTGGCTCCTAACTTGGATCGCCTCAAAAGACGAGACATTTTTTCGAGATAGAATTCGAAAATTGACTGAGAGGTGGGAAAAAATAGTAGCCAGCGATGGACAATACTTAGATTAATCTGTTCATTCATTTTTTTTAAATAAATGTATTTTTGACCACAAAAAAATGGATTGAACTAATTTGTACTCCCAATATTTCAATATAAATGAATCTTATTAAGCATAGTTATTTAATGCTGTGCAAATTACTTGGGACACAATTTAACTTTTATTCAGATTTTGCGTTATTTAAATACATTGTTAAACTCGGTAACCATCATTAAAATGGCAATGAATTCACAAAGATATAGTACGTTAGTGATCACATTTTTAGTTTAATTTTCTTACCTTGAAAATAGACATTTATAGAACACTTATTATGCATTTTTCTTATCGTTCTGTCAATTTTATCCATACAACTCTTCAAAATAGTCCACAAGTTCTCAAATGAATAAATCTGAATTTCCATACAAAAAAAAAACAAAAAAAGAAACGTTATTTAGATTTTCTATCATAAATCTGCAGACTAATTTCGAACTATGACATAGGGCCTAGTCTTAGTTCGAAAGGCCTAGAGCCTAGTCTTAGTTCGAAAGGCCTAGAGCCTAGTCTTAGTTCGAAAGGCATAGGGCCTAGTCTTAGTCGTATCCCGTCAAGCGTCTGTATTGAAATAAATGTATGTTGTAATGTAAGAGTTGATTAAATGAAAGTGGGCACTAGTGATAGTTTCAGAAATACAGCAGTGACAACAGCGCCATCATACAGGGTCTTGCCATGCAGAAAGAGTGAAAGAATGAACCACCGATTATGTATACAACTGCTATTAACAACTTTTGCATGAGAGAATTGGGGAATTTCAAAAGACATCCCGCATGGGTCAGCCAATCAGTTTCGAAACGTACGCTGACTCAACTTGCAGGACTGCGTGTATCCAATTAAATCTGATCAAAAACTTGGTTCAGCATGATAATAAACCCAAGCACCTTAAGGCTGTAACGTTAACACACAATATACAACCCCATGATTAGACAAAAACATGTAATTAATTGCAAGTACAAAATCTATTGTGAATATGAAACAGTGCTAAAGACAGAGGAGTCAAAAACGAAATAATGAACGCTGAAGCACATTTTAGTAGTAGAATGTAATTGCACCGTTCTATTTCTCAAATAGAGGTACATCAAATGCGTCGCGAGTCGTAGCTCTTTGGTTACCTTAAATAATTTCATTACCAAGAGCAATGAGATCATAATACACTCTATAACAAAAAAATCGACGCACCAAAAAGGTGTTGTCCGATTGAAACGAAAATTGGTGGATAGGAAGACAATGTACAGGATAGTAAATGATTAAAATTTCAGAACAATTGAATAATTCATTGCAGAGTTACAGTAACAAGTTCAATAAGGTGTTGACCCGCCTCTAGCCTGGATACAAGCTGCCACACGGCGTGGCATAGACCGATAAAGCTCCCGGATGGTCTCTTGCGGTATTTCCTGCCAAATTCGATCCAATTGTCGAACGAGGTCATCAACATTCCGTGCCAGATGCAATCGCCTTCCCATCATATCCCAGGCATGCTCGATGGGAGAGAGATCTGGTGATGTGGTAGGCCAAGGAAGAGTTTGACAAGCTTGCAGACAGTTCATAGCAACCCGTGCCGTATATGGTCTGACATTGTCCTGCTGAAAAATCAGCCCAGGGTGCTTCAAAAGGAATGGTAGCAATACAGGTCTTAGGATGTCGTCGACGTCCCGCTGTGCAGTAAGTGTACCTGTAATGACGACCAAAGGGGTCCGGCTGTCAAAGGAAATGGCAACCCAGACCATAATGCCTTGTTGAGGGCCGGTGTGGGGTGCAATAGTGAAGGCAGGATCCCCCCTCTGCCCTGTGCGTCTCCAAACACGTCTTCGATGATCGTCAGGACACAGTTGGAAGCGGGATTCGTCGCTAAAGACTATACGTCCCCTGTCGGCATGATTCCAGTAACATCTTCAAAACATTCATACATACGAAATTTCAAAGCAATAGGATGATTGCTTCTTGGTGCGTCGATTTTTTTTATAGAGTGTAGATCAAGATGTTTGCTGGTGACATTGATCTCCACACCTTTTACTAAAACTTATGCACCCTTTGTTCTCAACTATTTATCTTAAACAGTGTTCACCATCAATAGCATTGCAATATCTCTTAAACATTCACCATCATAGATTTTCAATATGCTCTCATGCGAACTTGTTAATCAGTTTTATGAATTAGGCAATGCACTCTTCCCCCCTTCCATTAAATTCGTGACCATTGTTGCTGCTACCGCTACTGTATTTCTCACTGTAACTGGAGCTCACTTTTCCTTTGGGCATATCTGTATGAATTTTGTTGAATTCATCATGCCTCACAACGGGGAATACGCTTACAGCTCCATTTGATAGAAGAAAAAAACATTTGCTTTAGATGATGTTTTGCTCTTTGATTGACATGCTAAGGTAATAAAAATTTGCCTCAATTAATTTGCACAGTATAGTTTATTGAAATAAAGAGTTTTTAAGCTGTTCATATCAATACGTATCATGTTTAGAGTGCAATACATAGGTGCACTTGATATTAGTAAAATTCTTAGCTGCACTCAATAGAGATTGGTATGAATCGGCATGTTTTGTTTTCATTTCTGTGTGGCTTTGCTGTTTTTATCCTGTAATCCTAGAATTTGTGTTTTGTCCCATTGCACGACCGCTTCAGAAACCTTTTTTGCTTTTTTTCTTCTCCTCATTTAGTTGCTTTAATGCGTGAGGTGCATGCAGAATTGGAGGCCATCAGGCAAGAAGAGAGGACCATCACTCACCTGGATGGGATGACTGGAAATGTTGAAAAAAGTGAGTGATTCAGTCACTTTTTTCCGTTTCAATCCTCAATTTAAAATTTTATATGACTCATTAACTTTCCTCCATTTACAAATATGCATGCACATCACATCTCATTGGCTTCTAATACTTTGTTATTTGTTGCTTGCTCAATTCGAATTGCACTCTATTCAAATATATCATGTGTTTCCAGTTCTAGTTTCAGTGATATGTTATTCGGTAACTAGGAGAAAATAAACGACAGGAGGGTTTTTTAAAACGTGTCTTATATCGCATCAGTAAAAAAATAACTTGAAACAATAATTTTGTAACAATTCAGAATAAAATGAAGCATAGTTAAAAGCTTATGATGTTTGTCATCAGGTCTATAACGGGTGTTTTTTCTGATTTTAAGCAATATTGACTTCTCCAAATACTTTAATTTTTGAATTTATTCGGTTAAGCAGTCCTTGCAGTCTCATGACTAATAAGTGAATTCAAATTATTGGAGGTGATCTTTAGCAAATCCAGTTTACAAAAGCATCTACAGTTTAATTTATAAAAAATTGTATTTTCAAAGTTCAAATGAAGGGTTCACAGTTGAAGTTCAAATTACTCCAGGGAGAGTTTTTAATTTAAGAAAGCATCACGATTTCAATACAAAGGATACATTTTTTGTGTGTATTGGGCTGTTATCTAGTTAAACATTGGAAGTCTCTAAAGCATCAATTTTGAGACATTACTAAGGATCAGTTTAATGTAAAAATGTCATCTTGAAAAATATTTGACAACTATATATATTTTACAACTTACGTATTTTACAACTTCTTTAAATTTAGTTATCACAGATTTTAATTAAAAAAAACTGTAAGTTCTTAAAAATACTACGATATGAAATAGGATAATTATAAAGATGTTGCTTTTAAATGTAAATTTAAATTACAAGCTCTTAACAATGGTCTTATCAGAAAAGAAAAGATGTTTATACAGTGTTTGATTTATATTAATGATAGAATGTTTCAGAAAAATGTTTTATCTTTATCAGCTATACATTTTGCCCATTACTACATTTCCGTCTGGCATGTCCTATTAAAAAACATCACACTTCTATTAGTTATGCATTTAGTAATTTGAACATTTATTTTTTTACAGTATTTCTAATCCCAACCCCCAAAAAAGAAGAATTAGAAGTATTGCATGTTTATTTAAAACGAATTAAGTTCTTCTTTATTCAGAAAAATATTCAGTAATGTGATTTATGATATCGATTAAGTTCAATATACGATTAAGCTCCTTATTCATGTAATACCATGTGATGTAGACAGCACATTTATTTTGTTTTCTTTCTATTGCAGCTTTGAGTGGGAAGTGCAACACGTTGCCTCTGCCGCCTTTCAGTCGTCATCCCGTGCTTTCCTCTGGTGGTCTGTCAGCAGGAAGCTCATTTGAAATAAACCCGACTACATCCATACCCCAACAACCATCAATCGAGAGCACAGATTCTCGCATCTACCTCACTTCTTCAGAAGTAAGCTCATGTTTTGTTTCTTTTAAATAATGTCAAATTGTGTACCTTACTTTATTTCAGTATTGACGTAACCTTAAGATTATGAGACTAACATAAGGATTCCTATATTTACGCAATATCTGGCTTATGTTGAAGATATTGAGAGACGTTGTAGCCGAGTGGCTAGAGAATGGGACTTCGGTTCGGAGGGGACTGGGTTCGATCCTCAACATCGTTAAGACCCACCGGGTATATGCGATATACGTCCTCGCAGAATCTGTGGCATCGAATGTCCTATGATCAGTCACTGAGCAGTACCATGAGCACAAGGATCTGCAGAAAGTTTCCTTTCCCTTCATATTTATATCTAAATTGAGGATGTGGCTTCGCGAATGAGTGATGACACTATCAATCGGTGGGGTTCTGAACTATGACGTGCTTTTCCCTTTGCGGTTCTCTTTTGCCAAATATAAGGCTCACTTTCCTGGCTTAATTCGCAAAAAGACAAAAACTGGCGAGCTTGGCTTGTCCAAGTGCTATTAGAAACAACAACATGAAGTTTCTGTGTAATTTTTCTTTGTAAATGGTTGCGATTAGGGAATTTGTTTCCCAATGTACAGAAAAATTCAGAATTTTATGTTTTTACTGAGTTATATAGTGAGTCGATTTTCCGAATTTCGAACTAATAAGACACAATATTTTATTACTCATAAAGCCTTTGAAAAGGAGAGAATAACATAAGAATTTCTATAGTTATGTAATATCAGGATAACAGATTTTATATAGAAGCACTTTTATGTTGAAACTTCTATTTAACTTGAATTTTTTTATTCTAGATGTTGGGAATCTTGTAAGATTGTTTCCCAATTGACAGAAAAATTCTTAATTTTCGCTTTATATTAGAAATATAATGAACTGATTTTTCATATTTTGATTTAAAGACACCTTATTACATTACTGATGCAACTTTAAAGTTATGAGAATACAAATTCCCAAAGTTGCAAAAAATCATGTTGGTTGATTGAAGTTTATTGACTATATTTAGTCAGAAATGATTATATGTCGCCATTCGATGGGTTTAAATATTACATTTCAAAAAAGGGAGCATAATTGTATTATTGTAATAAATTTAAGGGGAGTCGGTAGTAAAAATAATGCTAAAACTGATTTTTTTCATTGTACCTTTTCTAAGAAACTTTATATGATATCTCTTTGAAATATTTCGGGGATATTTGAAATTATATCAGTTGCATGCAGTGGTAATATTTTAGTGTTGACGGGAAAACTTTCTGAGTAATGATAGTTTTTTGCAAAAAAATGATAAAACTTTTTAAGAAATTAAAATATCTCAGTTCATCCTTTTAAAACAAAATCTGCTTAAGATATGTATTAACAGTTATTACAGTGTAAACATGTATATGTAAATATTCTGTGGGAAAAAAACTGAAACAATATCTTGCTTAAATGATGAGAAAAAGTACATCAAAAAAGCTCATTATTGGTATATGCCCAACCGACTCCCTTTAAGATAGTAATTTATGGGAATGCCTTATAAAAGTAAACGTTTCGGATAAAATTCGTTAAAAAGTTGCTTGACACAGAGATCAACTGAATCCAGCTTCGGCTCTTAGTAAATGCATATGAGTATAATGAGAATTGCTAATACCTGAATTAAAACATGAGTTTTGCAGTCAACGGATATAATTTTATGGTTATCAAAGGAATGATAAAGATCATGCATTCAGTTTATGTACTGAAAATTTGCAGATTTGCTTTAAATTCAGAAATGTTAAAATATTACCGCTTTTTTTTTTAGTGGTATTAGTTCCCGAGTTTGCGGTCATGTTACAATATCCAACAGAAATACTGAATCATCAGCCTTGTAAATATATAAAACAAGTTTCAGAATTTTTCCTGTGGTAAGAAAAATTTCGATATTAAACTACGCGCAAGTCGATATAAAATATCCAGTTGTAATTAGTTTGATCAGGAATAAAATTAAGATCCAGCAAATAAATAGCAGATTCGCGAAGTAATTTTTTAGAGACAGTAAAATCACAACCAATGTAATTATTATATTTCGATCCATCTGTAAAATTAAATTGTAAAATCCCTATAATTTGGACAATTTTTGGATGAAAACAGTCTTGTTGATTTTTTAAAACTATTAAAAACATCTAACACACGGGAAAAATATCAAGAGTGTCATGTTGATAAATGTTACGTTAAAGCTACTATTTAATTTCAGGTTGATTAATTTATAAAATGAGAAATTTATAAGATATTATACCAATTCATAAAAAACTATGCCCTCCAGAGTTTTCTAAAAAAATATTACGAATAAATTTTGCAAATGTTAGAAATGTTCTCAATTTAAGACTTTATTTTATTGATTATCCAACTTTAAAGATATGTAAATAGCAAAATAATTCCTAAAATTATGCAATATAAGAAACATAATGTGGGAAAACGTTGTAATGTAAGACTATTTATATTTTTCTTCGCTTATGATGGTTGAGAAGGTTATAAAAGTGTTCCCAAATGCTGAAACATTTATAATTTTTAATTCACATTTTCTATAAGAAGTATTTGCTAATTTCTTACTACTTATTTTTTTAGAATATCTTATTACTCCAGAGTTGCATTGCTAAGTTGATATTATAAAATAACAAATGTTTAAAATATCAATTGTAAAAACAATTGAGCAAATGAAAATTTATAAAATCATAGTAATTTTTATTTTCATTTAATTTTTATTTCATTATATATATATATA